TTTTTATGCACTCATGAGCTCTTTTTGCTGCTGTAAGCTGTAAGTTTTATTTCAGGATGGGAGAGATCTAAGCATTGCAGTATTAAATTGTTGACACATGTTTTTTGTAGGTAATAAACAAACGGTATCATCAGGAAGTTTCGAGAGGTGTTCAATTATTTCAAATAATCTGTTTTCATTTGAATCGGATTTGAGAGTTATTAATCTAGTCGAGAGTAAATCGCGGTCTTTTTGGGTAGTCACACCTAATCTTATTCTATTTAGCATTTCAACAAAGTCGGAATCATTGAGCTGTCGCATGTTAATTGTTAGTTCATCGTATATGAACAGATCAATCCATAGATTCGGCATACTGAGGGAACCTAACAACTTTTTAGATTCGGCAGTTGATAGTTTTTCAAAAGGTGACTTTTCTCTTACCGGTGGGAGCTGTAAGAGATCCCCGAAAACTACAAGATGTTTTTTTCCAAACCACCCATTCTGATCGTCGCTTGTGTCGAATATCTCAGACAAGCGTAAATGAATATATGTCAAAGTAACGTTGGATATCATCGACACCTCGTCTATGATAAACAATACTACATCAGAAAGTGGCTTGTACTTCGGTGTTTGCTTGTGTTCCACAGGCAGCTGCAAAAGTCTATGTATAGTCAATCCTGTTGGAGCACTAACTGCCACTTTTTTATTTAAATACGTTTTAACCCAAACTTTCAGAGTTTTTATTAAAAAGCTCTTTCCAGTGCCACCAGTTCCACTTACAAAACAGCGTAAAACGTCAGCGTTACTATCGGTTGTGTCCATTTTATTTGTGATCATATCGAAGACTCTTTTTTGATCGGTATTGAGTTTTGCGATCATACTTAGAAAATCAGTCTGCTTTACTTCTACTAGATTGATTCTCTGAAAGTCATCCATTGCGTTTGCAGCTTCTACAGCTTCAAAGTCAGTTAGACAAAGGGTTTTCAGGACCAAATGCTTTTTGTATCCTGTATCTGGACTCTATCATTGAATTACCATAATCGATTCCTTCTTTTAAATCTTCTTTCGCAAAATTAAAGGCCTCTGTGTAAGTATCACACCCCATTTTGAGTTCATCTAAAGAACACCATGGCTTGAATAAAAGAAGTAAAGAGAAGAAGTATTTCTCTGGTACTTGTTCTCCGTCGTAGAAATAGTGATTAATTAAATATGGGTTAGCTCTTCTTTTCAGGAACTTTTTACCATTATTTATCTCGTAGTACTTGACTCTTACTGTAGATATTCTTAACCGCCACTACACTGCCGTGTAGTGGCGGTTAAGAATATCCACTACCCCATATCTTCCCGTGGGTGTCGTAAGAGGCGACAGAGGGAGACAGGCAGGAGATGGGCAGCAGCGTCTTCCTGATGACAACTGTGACGTAATAAAAAACTGAGGTTGCCAACCCGCTCGCCAAGCGTGGCAACTATGGCAAATACCCCCCAATGAATAAATACACAATCAGACGGCCCCCAGTCCCCGGCGGCCCCGCTATTCCTGGCTACGGTGGCGACCATGGTAACGGCGGGGCAGGGGGGTGCTAAGAATCTCCGGTGGAGGTTCGGTTGCCACCTACGACGACTCGACCTGGCAACATATAACGCACGCACCCTGAGGACTGACGAGAAGATACTGGAGCTGGAAGAAGAGGTAGACAAGTTGCGCTGGCATATTATTGGATTATCCGAGATCCGAAGAGAGGGGGAGGACACGGCAATCCTCGAGTCCGGCAACTTGTTCTATCACCGGGAGGGCGACCATCTGTCCCAAGGAGGTGTCGGATTTATCGTCCACAAATCTCTCGTCAACAACGTTGTAAAGATTGGGAGTGTGTCGACGAGGGTCGCGTACCTGATACTCAGAATCACCAAACGGTATTCGCTGAAGGTCATTCAGGTTTACGCACCAACCTCGGCACATCCCGATGAGGAGGTGGAGGAAATGTATGAGGATATTTCCAGAGCCATACAATCCTCCAAAACCTACTACACGGTGTTGATGGGAGACTTCAACGCAAAACTGGGCACAAGAGAAAGCGGTGAGCTGAAGGTAGGGAAATTTGGAGTAGGGCAACGGAACCGAAGGGGCCAGCAGCTGGCCGACTTTATGGAGAAAGAGGGACTCTTTATGATGAACTCTTTCTTCCAGAAGCGGCCCCACAGGAAGTGGACCTGGTCGAGCCCCGACGGTTCGACAAAAAATGAGATTGACTTCATTATGACGACCAGACGCCAACTGTTCAGTGATGTCTCAGTGATCGCAAGGGTGAAAACTGGCAGCGATCACCGAATGGTTAGAGGCACACTGAACCTAAACGTTAAGTTGGAGAGGTCTCGTCTAATGAAGTCAACGCTCCGTCCCCCTCGTGCTCTAATCCAGAATCCCGAAACCTTTCAGCTCGAGTTACGTAACCGCTTCCAGTGCCTAGAAGATTGCAATGCAGTGGACGATATGAACGACAAGCTCGTGGAAACTGTCCATGTGGTCGGAGCTAAGTTCTGCAAGACCCGCCGCAGAAGAACACAAAAACTCTCCGATCACACTCTTAATCTCATGGCTGTTAGACGGGAGATGAGGCTGCAATCGTCAACAGATTTGACAGCATACAGGCAACTGAACAGACAGATCTCCAAATGCATACGGCGAGACTTACGCAACTTTAATACTTCTCGTATTAAAGAAGCGATCGAGCGGAACCAGGGCTCCAAAGTCTTTGCCAGAGATCTGTCTGCCAAAAAGAGCCAACTGTCAAGGCTGAAGACTGAGTGTGGCAACATCGTTTCCGGGACACCTGAGATTTTGAGTGAGATTGAGAGGTTCTATGGGCAGCTGTACACATCATCGTTGGAGCCACACGCAAGTGTGAGTAACGATCCAAGAGCAAGTCTTATCCGACACTATTCCGATGATATCCCGGACGTCAGTCTAAGCGAGATTAGAATGGCTCTCCAGCACCTTAAAAACGGCAGGGCCCCAAGCGAGGATGGAATTACAGCGGAGCTTCTGAAAGCGGGTGGAACACCGGTACTTGAAGTCCTTCAGAAGCCCTCCATGGTGGCACTACTCCAGAGGCATGGAGCAGAAGTGCGGTGGTCTTGTTCTTTAAGAAAGGCGACAACGCTCTCTTAAAGAACTACAGACCGATTTCCCTTCTGAGCCGCGTCTACGTGCTGTTTTCGAGAGTCATTACGAATCGTCTCGCACGCAGACTTGACGACTTCCAGCCTCCCGAACAAGCCGGTTTCCGAAAAAGGCTTCAGTACCATAGACCACATACATACCCTGCGGCAGATTGTACAGAAGACTGAAGAGTACAATCTGCCACTTTGCCTGGCGTATGTGGACTATGAGAAAGCCTTTGATTCCGTCGAAATTTGGGCGGTGCTACAGTCCCTTCAGCGGTGCCAAGTTGACTGTCGGTATATCGAAGTGCTGAAGTGTTTGTACAGTAGGGCTACGATGGCTATCCGAGTACAGAACCAGAGCTCGAAACCTATCCAACTGCAGAGAGGTGTAAGACAGGGTGACGTTATATCCCCGAAACTCTTCACCGCTGCATTGGAAGACGTTTTCAAGCTACTGGACTGGAAAGGATACGGTATTGACATCAATGGCGAGTACATCACTCACCTTCGATTTGCCGACGATATAGTCCTTATGGCAGAATCGCTGGAGGACTTAAGCACTATGCTCAATGACCTCAATAGTGCCTCCCAACGGATAGGTCTTAAGATGAACATGGACAAAACAAAGATCATGTTCAATGTCCATGTCACACCTATGCCGGTAGTTGTTGGGAGCACTATGCTCGAAGTTGTTGACGAATACGTTTACCTGGGACAAATAGTCCGACTAGGTAAGTCCAACTTCGACCGAGAGGTCAATCGACGGATTCAACTCGGCTGGGCAGCGTTCGGGAAATTACGGCATATCTTTTCGTCAGGTATACCTCAATCTCTAAAAACTAGATTGTACAACCAGTGTGTGTTGCCAGTGATGACTTACGGATCTGAGACGTGGTCCTTCACTGCTGGCCGTATGAGGACGCTTAAGGTCGCTCAGCGAGCTATGGAGAGGGCTATGCTCGGAGTTTCTCTGCGTGATAGACTCAGAAATGAGGATATCCGCAGTAAAACCAGAGTGACCGACATAGCCCAACGGATTAGTAAGCTGAAGTGGCAATGGGCCGGCCATATAGCTCGAAGAACCGATAACCGATGGGGAAGAAAGGTTCTCGAGTGGCAGCCTCGTACCGGTAGGCGTAGTGTAGGGCGACCCCCCACTAGATGGAGTGACGACCTGGTAAGACATGCAGGAAGTCGATGGATGCAGGTGGCTCAGGACCGTGCTTTGTGGCATTACTTGGGGGAGGCCTATGTTCAGCAGTGGACTTGTGAAGGGCTGTAATGATGATGAAATGATGATGACTTGATGGACTTGAAGGATGAGGAGACTGGGCGTGTTTTAACAATATCGTAATTTTGAGCGAAACTATATAAGTTAGTATTCTCCAATTCTTTAGGCCGTTTAGGATAGTGGTCATCAATCCAAGACTCTTAATAAATATCGGTAGACTCCGGTTCTAGCATCATGATATCAGATTTAGATTTAACGCGCCGGTTGCGAAAGATGTTAACGTCGAGTCATCGAATTGTTGTGGTAAGATCTGTACCGTACAAAGGAATAGCAAGTAGAGTGTCACTGGCTTCCAAAGAGCCGCACTCTCTATTAGACAATACTCTAAGGCCAATGTTAAACAGGCGGCTTCTTAAGGGTTTTGTAGAGTTTATGTCTTGAAAAATATCAGCAACGTGAGTTTTCTCGCTTTTGGTGGTATATTTAGTGAGAGAAGAGTTCTGAAATAGGAGCATTTCTCCTCCTTTCATGCAAGGGGTAAATAGTGTATTGTTCATAGTCAGCCTCTTTTTCTGATGTAACTTGTGTTGGTAGCACATCGTTTTCTCCTACAAAGTTATCTACTTCAGATTCTAATTGGTCTACTATATGATGGATATTGTGCTCTTCGTAAGGCTTGGTAAACTAACTTGGTAAAATATTGTAAGGCTTGGTAAACTTTATTGACATCCACAATATCCTCCCACACTATTTTTGATTTTGTTGGCATACCTCGTACCATAATATACATTTCAGTGTTAGTAATTAGGTGTTCTGGTCTAGGCAGCTTTTTCAAAGTTTCTTCAAGAGGCAAAGGAAGGTGAAAAGTTCTACCTTTTACTTTTTTCACCATATTTCTATTAGGTAAATGTTTGTTTGCAACAGGATTCATTAGCATTACTACCTGAAATGCTTTGGCGCGTTGAATTAATATCTTTTCATAGTCATTTAACTCAGCTATCTGTGGTGGAACAGTACTAACTTGTAGGTCATTTAGAACACAGGCTGCTGGCAGTTGATTTGCTCTAATTTTTTGTAAGCACGTGTGACAAATGTAGGGGCTGTGATCTAGATACTTGGTTTTGTAATAATTGAGAAGATTATTCCAAATACTGGTGTCTATAGCTTTTCTTAATCTTTTTAGCGATGAAATATCTCTTGAATAACAAAGTTTTATACACGACATGCACTCAAGCTTTGGAGTATCAAGACACTTTAGTTTTAGAGATTTAAACGCAGCCTTATGTTTATCTATGACATTATCCTCTACAATTTCTTGTGACTCTTCACTTTCCACAATAATACTGCCAGCTTTTTGTTGTTTCCCGTGTTCTTTGATTCTTTCTACGTCACATTTTTCTAATAATTCATCAATATCTTTTAAAATGTTAAAAATACTCTGTACTTGATATATTTCTCTTGAAATTGTCCTAAGACGAAGAAAATGCGCTTTGAGTAATTTAATATAATTTAAGCACTCTAACATTTTTTCTTTTTCAATTAATGTATAATACTGTGCTGCACTTTTGTTCACCAAGCTTTCGAAAATGTTTGTTAATTGTATGATTACGTTCTCATCTAGAGCACACAGATCATTACAAGACCAAACTAAACTATGGCCATGCTTTTTCACATTCCCAAAGACCGCTTTTCCTGTATCGTCAATTTCGATAGCTTTGTCCTTGTTTTTAAATAAATTGTAAGCTTCTTCTGCGTAATATGGCTCCTGGTTACTTCTGTGCTCTGATTTTCCAAGAAAACATTCTAACCTGTAATTTAAAGAACTATCTGGAGGGCACGAACTTAGTTTTCATAACGATACTTTAAATTTATCTTTTAATTTATCAACAGTTTTATTAAAGTTTCCTAATATTTGCTTCCGGTTATGAACTGCCCATTTAATTAGTTTCTCCGCTTCTAATCTGTTCTTAATTTTATTGGTTAGCGCTTGAGTAATTTTTTCTAAATTTTATAGTCGAAATTGAAATTTTTCGTTTGATCTTTTCCTTTGGACAGATTTAAGATTTAGCTCAGGATGTAAGTCTTTATAACGTGCCACAGCATCACGGTTAACTTCAGGATGAGAAGTAGTATAACGACTCACTGCTTCTCGGTGAATTTCGGGATGAGACGCAGTGTAACGCGCTACAGCTGCTCTGTGAACTTCTGGACATGAAGAACTGTAACGAATTAATGTCTCCTTACGTATTTCGGGTTTGTTCTGGCGATAATGAGCCGCTGTTCTTTGATTTGTTGAGAACGGGATAGTGCCGAAGTTTTAGGTCTTCCTTTATTAGCCTTTTTAGGTCTTCCACCCGTTTTAAGTAGGTTTTTATTATTTTTATTCGAACTACATTTGGAGGCACTTCTGGAAGGAGCACTTCATAATGGCCACCTAAGAAATTTCCAGAAAATCGTAAACGTTTCACCGGATTACCAGAATCACCACTGAGTGATCCTCTCAAAATGCCATTTTCGTAAACCTCGAAAGCATACGGATACAAAGCGGCGGCCACCATAAGTTCAGACGTGGAACCATAGGTGGTTGTTTTTACCATTGCCGTCATGTACAAATCAGTATTAATGTAGGGGTTTCCACGCTCGTCACAAGTATACAGTTGTAACTTATCCCAATGCGCTACCACGTACTCGATTATAGCAAGTCTAATCTCATACGACGACTCAATATTCCCATACATAGAGAATGACAAAGAATGAAATAAACACGAACCGTCGCTAGGTATAGGGACAATCCAGTGTGGGCAAGGATTTTCATTTACATACAGTATTTCCGAATCCATTGCGACTACTAGTACTTGTACGCAAGAGTGTTTTTTTGTGCAGGAATACGATTAATAGATAAACGTGACTCTACAGTACGTGAAACGTATTAATATATCTTAATATTATCCGAACAACGTCCAAATCCTTGGCAAATAATATATTATACAGGTAAACCAATGAGTAAACCTTCCAGTCGTCAAAGTAATAATAGAATATATCAAACAAATCAATACTAAAATAATAATAATAATCGATATTATAAACGAAAAGGTAATATTACAACGTCTTAATATACGTTAAAATTATCCAAACATCATCCAAATCGTAAGCAAATAATATAAGTAAATCAATAAGTAAGAAGCCCTTCAGTCGTCAAACTAATATAGCAATCGAAATTATGAACGAAAAACGCAAATTTATAGGTAAGATTTCTAGGCACATCCGAACAGCAAGGGAGCGCTCGCGCCACAGAGTACTTTCTAATATACTGAAATAACTAATATACTGGCTCGCGCATATGAGCGCGGCGGCTGCCACGCCACTTGCTCGATATCTCTGAACGCGCCGCGATCCGCCGGAACACCTCGCGGTTATTTACAACCTTACATACAGCATGGCAACACTCATCATACGAGACGAGAGTTTTTTACAAGTTGCATTTGAACATAATTATACCTAGGTACCTATCTAAACCTATTATTCCATTATATATATATATATATATATATATATATATATATATATATATATATATATACATAAACACTCACGCCTGTCACCCAGAGGGGTAGGCAGAGACTACAGACTTCCATTTGGCACGATCCTGACACACCTCTCTCGCCTCCTTCACATCCATACACCTCCGCATACATGCTCGTCGGTTAAGGGTACTCCTAATTTGGCCCGTTTTCAATAAATCGCCAATTTGGTCGATAAATTTTCGCCTAGGACGTCCCTTTCCGACTCTGCCATTCACTTCTGCAACATAAATTTTCTTTGTCACTCTTTCCTCATTCATTCTTTCCACATGACCAAACCACCGAAGCATTCCTTTCTTAATCCTGGTCACAACATCATCTTGCAAACCACACTCTTCTCTTATTACACAATTTCTTACCCTGTCATTAAGATTCAGCCCTAACATACTCCTTAACGACCGCATTTCTACTGCGTTCATTCTACTCTCGTGCTTCTTCTGCCACACCCAACTTTCACTACCATATGTTAAAGTAGGGACCAACACAGCATTGTGAATTGCCATACGTGCCTTTTTCGACACATTTTGACTCTTCACAATAGAGTGCAGGGCCCCATTTACTCTATTTCCCGCATTCACTCGTCGTTCTATATCCTTATCATATCTCCCATCCCTGCTAAATACGCAGCCCAAATATACAAACTCATCTACTTGCTCGATCAACTCCCCTTCTATTCTTATTTCACAAATCGTTTTACTTTCTTCTCTTTCAAAAACCATAACCTTCGTCTTACTTGCGTTCACTTTCATACCCCTTTCTTTTAATGATCTGTTCATTAATGTAACCATCATTTGCAACTCGGCCGCCGACGACGCAAGTATAACTTGATCATCGGCGTACAAAAGGCATTTGACGGTTAACTCACCCATTCTTAATCCGCATTCTTCAACTTTCAAATTTTGCAAACAACTGTCCATAAATAGGTTGAACAGCCACGGGGGAAGCTACACAGCCCTGTCTGACACCTTTATGGATGTCAAACCAGTCCGAGTAGACCCCGTTGATCCTAACACAAGCACTAGAGTCCCTATAAAGGGACTCCAATGCCCGTATCAAGCCAGCGCTCAACCCAAATGAATTCAGTGTTTGCCATAGCACATCCCTATTCACTCTGTCATAGGCCTTTTCCAAGTCCATGAACGCACAAAAAACCTTTTGGTTTTTGGCCAAAAACTTCTCCGCGATCATGCGCATGGAAAAGACTTGATCTGTACATCCCATTCCCTTTCTAAATCCTGCTTGCACATCCCAAATTTTTCCATCAGTTTCTTTCATGACCCTTTCAATCAGTACCTTAGCATACAGTTTTCCCACAATGCTAAGAAGGCTGATGCCACGGTAGTTTTTACAGTCCTGCTGCGACCCTTTTCCTTTATATACTGGGACGCTTCAGTTCCCAGCATAAATTAAACAAGGTGTGCAGCAGGCCTGCCACCACTTCCTCTCCAGCCCTTAGCATTTCGAGTGAAACTCTATCATATCCGGCAGCCTTACCTGCTTTCATGCTTTTCATTGCTTTCATTATTTCACCTACACTAATCTCGCTACCTCTTTCCTCTTCTTTCGGAATTTCTACTTCACTTAGTACACACGTTGTCTCCTCACTCATAAACACGCTTTCAAAATATTCCTTCCATCTCTTTAAACTCAAAACTTCATCATTCAGAATATAGCCATTCTCGTCTCTTATAGCATTCATCATAGGCTGTTTTGAATGTCCCCTGGCAGTTCTTACAAGTTTCCAGAACATTTTAATATTTGCCTGGAAATTATCCGATATTCTTCTATCATTCTTATCCGTTCTTTCTTGCTTTTTTCTTTCAACTACTTCTTTTACTCTCTTATTAAGATGTCTAAAGACTGCCTTTTTTCTTTCAATATCATCATTCGTACCGCTAGAATTACCAGCCTTTGTTGCTAGTAAATCTAGCCATGCTCTCTTCTTTGCTTCAACTTCCATACGTACCTCATCATCCCACCATAACGTATTATTTTTCCTTTCATTCTTTCTCTTACTAACACCACATACTTCGGTAGCTGCATCCACTAAACCTTTCTTTACATTTTGCCATACATTCTCCAAGTCTAACTCCTTCATACATAATTCATCCAAACCACTTATATTTTCTTTCAGTCTACATTTGAACTTCTTTTTCTCACCTTCATCTTGTAACCTTTCTGTTCTAATACGCTGTAACGCAGTGGTAGACACAGATGACCGATGGCGCCAACGCCTGAATAGACCATTAATTCGGCATAGAACCAAATAATGATCCGTTCCTACGTTAGAACCCCGGTAAACCCTTGTATCTACAACTGCGCCCCTCAATCTTTCATCCACAATTATTAAATCTATCATGCTTCTATCGTCACCTCTTTCCCAAGTATACATGTGAATCCTCTTGTGGCGAAAGCAAGTGTTCGTCACAAAAAGATTCTTTTCCATACATACGGTGAGGAGACTTTCACCATTCTCATTTATACTTTCATCACCAAACGTTCCCAATATCCTTTCATAACCAAGCCTCCTCACCCCAACCCTTCCATTAAAATCTCCTAGCATAATAATATTTTCATTTCCCTTACATTATCCTATCCCTTATATATATATATATATATATATATATATATATATATATATATATATATATATATATATATATATATATATATATATATATATATATAATGGAATAATAGGTTTAATTCAGTGTATGTATCCTATACCTTTAAACGAGCAATTCTTGTATATATATAATCGGAATCTCGGAAACGGCTCTAACGATTTTCATAAAATTTAGTGTCCAGTGAGTTTCGGGGGCAATAAATAGATCTAGCTAGAATTTACTTTTAGAAAATGTCCTTTTGTCCGTGTTTTCAGGCAATAAAAAAACTGCTACAATATAAGAAGGTAAATTTTGACAAACCGCTAACGATCGTAATAGCTCATGCGGGATATCGGTTGGGCATGATATCGGAGTTCCGTGGTTCGCGTCCTGTCTCTGGCCCGGCTTTTTTCCTTTTTTTTCAAGTTCCCTTTTTTTGTGAGAAAATCTATTATTTCAAGCCCCTTTTTGTATTTTTATATAAATATATATATATATATATATATATATATATATATATATATATATATATATATATATATATATATATATATTATACGTATTTATACAGGTACACCGAATCATTCACTGCAAATGTAACTTTTTAATTCTATACATTTGTATGGGAGTTAGCTAGCCGAAAAAAGGTCGTAACAGATATTCCCAGTTACATATAGTGAAAGTGTTAGCTAGCCGAAAAAAGGTCGCAACTGATATTCGCAGTTACATATAGTGAAAGTGTTAGCTAGCCGAAAAAGGTCGTAACTGATATTCGCAGTTACATATAGTGAAAGTGTTAGCTAGCTGATAAAGGTCGTAACTGATATTCGCAGTTACATATAGTGAAAATGTTAGCTAGACGAAAAAGGTGGTAACTGATATTAGCAGTTACATATAGTGAAAGTGTTAGCTAGCCGATAAAGGTCGTAACTGATATTCGCAGTTATATATAGTGAAAGTGATAACTGATATCCGAAGTTACACAAGTGATAAAATCAACTAGTTTAGTTGATAATAGCTGCTAGTCAGTAGTGTTAGAAAACCAGCTACTACCAATAAATATTTGATACTACCGTACAATTTAAAGAAACCTTTTGACATATACAGTGACCAACCAATAGTTTACAACCGTAGTTCAACAACCGTGGTTAATAAAAATAGTTATAAAATTTCGCGACTAATCAATCAGTCGAACCGCTGGCCACTACCTTGCTATTTGTATTTATTAATCATGCATTTTGATTTGAACCTCAGTCCACAATATCTCAGCGGCACCCACAAAGATGGCAGTGAAAGTACCCACCGGAACCTATAGGTGCAGGACGTGAGCGACTCGCGAAGTATCTTCGACAAAACTCCGGAGAGTTTCGCCCGTCCGGCACATAATTTTATTTTGTAGGTTGTTCGATAGTTTATGTAGCAGTACTTACATGTATTGCATCAAATTATTTCCTTAGTCTATTTTTCATTTAGTTTTTAAACTCGTAAACAAATTAACTCAATTGTGATGTGACACTACAGACAAAAATTAAATTATTGAAAAATATAAACATTAATTGATTTGTTCTTTATTTAGTTAATTACAAGATGGTGCCTCCAAAGAAAAGTCATGTATGGAAGGTTTTTACGAAAATTGAGGGAAATTAAAACTTT